CCCGCCATGATCTGTGGTTTTGATCAAGAGAAGGGTTGTTTGAAGGAGAACTCAGAGAAGAGCTGTTTTTTATTGCATGCCCTTTTGGCCAGTGGATGCTTGCCGTCAGCGGATAAGTGTAGCTGTCCAACCCTTGTTGAGGGTGTCCATTGGCAAGGTGGATTGGAATCCTGTTTTTTCAACTCTTTGGGGATTCCGGCTTTCGTTGTTTCTTTTCATCTTGTGTCTGTTTCCTGCAATGAATGCGTTGTGGCATTGGATATGGCATCATTGTCGGAATGCTGGTTCAGAGTAAACAAATGCATTTGCTTGTCATTTTCTTGCATTGCTATTCACGACTCCTTTCATAAATGTGTTAGGTGGTGTTCTTATCGTCTCTCTGTGCCTGATATTGGTTGCAGCCGACACCAGTCCACCTTACAGTCAAAGAGTACGTCACACCAGAGAAGTTTGCCTGGTGGAAAGACTATGGAGAATCAATCGGCTTTCGCTATGTTGCTAGCGGCCCCCTGGTGCGTGTTCGTTAAAAGTTTATGTCGATCCCCACACCCCACACCCTACACGCCACCCCACAACTACTTCTCCTCCATAGCTAGTGGCCCCCTAGTGCATGTCTGTTGAAAGTTTATCTTGATTCCCCACACCCGACACCCCACACTCAGCATCACATCATGTTATGTAGCTTATGTTCAATTATACTCCTGCCTCCCCTCCATATCTGCCATCACTCTTCTTCCACTTGTCTTGTGCCTGTGCTAAGGCTATAGCTTGTGCGCGTCCTGCATATTGTTCTGGACATGTTGTTACCCTCTTTCTAGTGTGAATCTTGTGTAGTGTTATGGTTGTCCCCTTGTGTTTTGATCGGGAAGAAATACCATCTCCTCAGATTTTACTTCTGAGAAAAATGGAAGTGCCGAAAGTGTTTTTCGTCCCTGACAGAGAATTCCTTTTGCACACGGAAAAGAACGGGAAGCACCAATGGAAAAAGACAGAGAAAAGAGTCTTTGGTGAATGAGAGGGGTGTATGTTGATGCACTGTACAGAGATAGACCTGACGTTACCCCTTGAGCTCTTGGTTTGGTGCCCAGAGGCAGCCCACAACGTTCTGCAATTTGTCCTATCAATTCGTCATTACCTTTTTTGGATGTGCGTGACCTGCGGCTCAATCATGCACATAAGAGAAACCTCGTACTTTCTCATTGATCGGTTTCTTACTCGTTCGCGGGGAAGGGGTTTAGATTGGTGATTCTTTTTGACGAGGCACACAAATCCTCTGTTTTGCTACTGATTTCTGGACGTGATTGCAGTCAGGTGCATCCACGTCATGCAGTAGTTGCAGTAGTTTGGAAATTGGCAGTGGTGTCAGGCAGGACCATTTGATGCTGTCAAGGAAATCTCATCCTCTGTGAGCCTTTGCAAAGGCCATGGGTCTGATGAGCCAAAATGTCAGCCAAACACAGTTATTTGAGGACGGAAGTGTCTCAAAACGAAAACAGTTCTCATCTGTAGTTAGTTAGTATGTGCGTGTGTGTGTGTGTGTGTGTGTGTGTGTGTGTGTGTGTGTGTGTGTGTGTGTGCCTTTCCCCATGTGCGGGGAGCAGGTGTGTGTGTGTGTGTGTGCCTTTCCCCATGTGCGGGGTG